TGTATCAAACTTTGTCCTATATATTGTAAAAATTCACACTCACTGGTCACTTTATTAGGTATACCCTACTAGTATCAATTTGGACCACTTTTTGCCTTCAGATCCAACAAGATTGTGTCAATGCTTCAGCAGCCTGAAGCATTGATACAAGGCAGGATGGCTTTGTGCTTTCATGGTGTTTAGCCAAATTGTGACCCTACTATCTAAATATAGCAGCACAGCTCGAGACATCAGACCAGGCAACTTTTTTCCAGTATTTCATTGTCCAGTTTTGTTGAGCCTTTCCTGTTTTTCACTGACAGAGGTGGTACCCGATGTGGTTTCTGCTGCTGCTGTTGTTGCCTATCTGCTTCAAGGTTGAACATCTTGTGCATTCACAGATGCTCTTCTGCATACCTCGGTTATAATGAGTTGTTATTTGAGTTCACCATAGAAATGGTTGTTGGGAAAATTTCAGTAGATCAGCAGTTTCTCAAATACTCAGACCAACTTGTGTGACACCAACAACCACAACAGCCACATTCACAGTCACTTGAAATACTTTCTCCTGCATCCTGATGCTCAGTTTGAAGTTCAGCGGGTCATCTTGACCACATCTACATGCCTAAATGCACTGACCTGCTGCGATGTGATTGGCTGATTAGATGGTTTTGTTTACAAGCAGTTGAACAGACATGCCTTATAAAGTAGCTGGTGAGTGTATATTAGTTAAGTTTTAGTTAGATATAATAGGGGAGTGCTTAGCTCTACTTTGACTCCCAGCATGCTTTATGTCACTGTACAGTAAATGTTGGTGGTAGTTCCTTGATTGTCTGGTTTGTTGGTGACACCCCTGCCTTGCTCTTTCCCTGCGCTCCTGTCGGCTCTGTTTCCCTCTTGGCTTTCTGTAACTTCGCCACGTGCAGCTTCAGCAGACTGTTTAGCTCCTCCTCCAGTGCCCCTGCCGTAAAGTTTGAATCCCAGTCCAATACGAAGTACAGCACTCCGGGCAGCACGGTGAAGAGGAGCAGCACTTTCTCCCAGTTCCCCACGGAGAAGTCCAAGACATTTGACTTCCTCAATGAAGAGTAAGTAATGAGGACGTTTGACTTTGAGTTCTGTGGATTTTACCAAGTTGGAAATTCATTAATGCACCTGTCTATAAAATGCATTATCAGCTGATGGCTTTGTGTCTCTCGTGGTTCTCCCTTTAGTAAGGAACAGTGCAGTTCTCCATCACGTAAAGAGCAGAAGAGAAGCCAGTACAGACAGGTCAAGGCTCACGTGCAGAAGGAGGACGGACGAGTCACTGCGCATGGCTGGAGCCTGCCGAGCAAATACAAGGTGGGAAATGAAAAAATTGCTTTGCATTAGGTCAGAGATGCGATCGGCACTTTTTATTTTGCTTTGTTCGCTTTAGAAGAAGAAATCGTTTATTTTAAATGGCCAGCATATCCTGTGCAGCATAATAAGGTGTATCCTTTGTCTGTTCCAGCCCTGTGTTCATGTTCACCTGAGAAAATTTAAAAGTAGTGGTTTTAAAAGTCTTAAAATAAACTTTATTTACAATATTTAAGTTTTGACTGTTCTACCATCACAGGTAGCAAACGGTGGACAAGTGGAAAACAAAATGAACTTACCTGTGCCGGTTTACTTGAGACCTCTGGACCAGAAAGATGCTTCTATGAAGGTGCTTAAATGAATGAATAGACAACTCTAAGCATACATGCAGGATATTGTTGTTATATTTTAACATTTTGATGTTTCTAACAAGCTCTTTCTGTCCCACAGCTGTGGTGCGCTGCCGGGGTCAACCTGTCTGGGGGTCGGGCATTTTCCTCATCAGAGCTTTCTAAGCAGACAAAGGGTTCTCAGAGCAGCTTGGATCAGCTGGAGCAGGAGAGTAAGGTGAGTAGTTTAAGGAAGGAAGAAGCTCTTTGGAGGCAGTTGTGACTTCTGATAGTTCTTTATGTTTTATACTTTGAGTCGATTCGCTAATGTGTTACGTTGCTGTAAGGATCGGGAAAAAGGGGAGAAAGAGAAGGAGCTGATTGTTCAGGACGAGATGTCCAGTCGTGTGTGGGTGTGCACTAGCACCCACTCCTCCACCAAGGTTATGGTTCTGGATGCCACTCAGCCCTCTGACCTGCTCGACAGCTTCTACGCCTGCAACACTCATATTGTCTGCATCGCCAGTGTGCCAGGTAGGTCCAGTGGTCACGCTTTGTGTTTGTTGGGGTAAAAATTATTTTTCTTACTGGGTCATTTGTGGTGTTTTGTCAGGTGTGTTGGAAACTGATTATCCAGCAGGTGAAGCTGTACCCCAAGACCTGGAGTCCAGCCAAGGGGATGCGGCGTCACTGGCTGGCAGCGTGGCCAGTGTAGGCTCAGCAGGCAGCGATAGCGCCTCGGCAGCCGAGGGCACCACTGCCATTCCCCAGACAGCTAGTGCAGGTGTTGCCGACCAGCCGGCTGAGCACAGCGCCACCTCAGCCTCAGGTAGTTCTCTACTAAAAAAAATGTTTAGATAGAGTACAGTATGTGTGGTTTGATAGCTGTGCTGTGCTGTGATCCACAGCTCCCACTGTTGAGTTGTCCAGAGAGACCAGTCCAGCAGAAGATGGGGTTCCCACAGCGGAAGAGGCAACAGAAGCAACGGAGGCTAATGCTGGCGTGGGCGAAGAAGGAGAGGAAGATCAGGGGGCTGATCAAAACCAGCCAGGAATTTACACGGAGCACGTGTTCACCGACCCACTCGGGGTGGAACCCACTGACTCCTTAGTTGCTGAATCACAGAGGTGAGAGTGAATATTGGTAGATGCTTTAGTCAATTCTTAAGATTTTTAAGGCATATATGACAATTGCAAATTTAAAATCTTGAAATGTATGAACCCTAGAAGAATTATGTCCAGACATTAATTTACACACCTTAAAAATAAAACAGTCTAAACTTGCTGTTGCAAAATAAAAGCACTGGTATTTTTAGCTTACAGAGGAAACCATAAGAGCATCTGCGGAAACTCGGCTGCACGTGTTTACTCCATGTTTTCTTAATGAAGGACTGTTTTCCATTATCCAGGGGATCCAGACAGGATGGGGTGACTTCTCTGGCAGAAGACTGGGACCCATCAGAGATTGAGGTCCTGAGGATGAGCAGTGCACTTCCCACCATGTGGCTCGGTGCTCAGAATGGGTGGTAAGTGAGGCAGCAGCCACTAGAGGGAGCTATTAGTTCAGGGGAAAAAGGAGGAGAAAATTTGATGAGGTTGTAACTTCATGGAGAAAATTTGCTTTTGGTTATCATGCTGATTTTGGTGTTTATTTATTTATCAGCGGCTGTGTTTTTGTCATAGTGTTTAATCATTCGGATACATTTTCATGTCTTTATTTAGTTGATAATCAGGAGTTTTCCTCTGCTTGACTTTCCTGTCTTTAGTCTGTACGTCCACTCGTCTGTGGCTCGGTGGAGGAAATGTCTTCATGCCATCAAACTGAAAGACTCGATCCTCAGCATAGTGTGAGTAAAAAGTTGGTTGTGTTTTTATTTAAGGACTTGCACACACACAACAAATGAACATTTAAAAATAGACTAATAAACATACTTTTAAAAGTGTCTTCATAACCTGTTGCAGGCATGTTAAAGGGAGGGTCCTGGTAGCACTGGCTGATGGGACATTAGCAATTTTCCACAGAGGCATTGGTAAGTCTGTAACTTAGACTGCTTGCAGTCGGTCTCCGACAGCAAAAAGTCCGGTTCATCAGCAGCCAACCAGTGGTTTTTGCTAGTCACAGGGTGGTTGCCGTCTTATTTTCACTGTAGTGTGACTGAGCCACGACTAATTTTATGCCACAAATTGCCAAAGTCTTCTTGTTTCTTCCAAGCAGACGGACAGTGGGATCTAACCAACTACCATCTGCTGGATCTGGGCCGGCCCCACCACTCTATCCGCTGTATGACCGTAGTCCACGATAAGGTTTGGTGCGGCTACAGAAATAAGATCTACGTCATCCAGCCAAAGGCCATGAGGATAGAGGTACAAATTGAAAGTTAATAAACCATATGTTGTGCAAGTTATTTTTCTGTTCCAGTCAACTTCAACCAATTAAACCTTATTGTTGTCATGGGAACATCCCAATTTACTTCTAACATTACGCAATTGCAATCTATCGCGCCCTTGCAGAAATCCTTTGACGCTCATCCTCGGAAGGAGAGCCAGGTACGGCAGCTGGCCTGGGTTGGAGACGGCATCTGGGTGTCCATCCGACTGGATTCAACTCTACGCTTGTTTCACGCCCACACCTACCAGCACCTCCAGGATGTGGACATTGAGCCCTATGTCAGCAAGATGCTGGGTATACAAACTGTTTGTTGCCTAGCAGTTAATCAGCACTTTCGTAAATCATCTCAACAGACTTCTGGTTTTATGCTCACTCATTTATAGGGAATAATCCCTAGATAGAGTTGCTGTATGAACGCTAAGGCAACATACATGTAGAATTCAGCGCTTACTTTCTGTACACACACGTAGTAGAGTGATATTTTGAACAGTTTAGGAGGTCGCAACGTTTCTTCTTCAGATCTTGGATCGAACATCTTCTGTGTGTGTTGCAGGTACAGGTAAATTGGGTTTCTCATTTGTGAGAATCACCGCTCTCGTCGTATCCTGCAACCGACTGTGGGTGGGTACAGGAAATGGCGTAATCATCTCCATCCCGCTCTCTGAAGGTACAGCACAATCTCATCAGCTGTCTGCTTAAATGTCCACTTTTGTTTCATAAAGCAATGCATCATCAAAATGTTCTTTTAGCAGTGTTTATTCGCTGAACTCAACTCATTACTGCATTAGGAATAAATACATACTGTTAGCTTTTATGCTTTATTTGCATTGCAGAACATTAGTTTCATCATTTTAAAGTGTCCAAGTCTTTATGATTTAAATATTCTGTGGGAAAACTGAGATGTTGTGAGGTTAAACTGTTTATTTTTGAGTATTCCTGAGTACAAATATATTCATATTTGGCATATGGTTGAATTGAAGCATGCTATTAGTTACGTAAACGCGCGGCGTGTTCTTAATATCAAATCCCTCACTGCTACCTCCACCGTCTCCTTTTATTCTTCTTTCATATTTCAACTCATCTCCCAGATGGCCATTCTGATGCCTCAGGGACCGTCATTGTGTAGCATCACCTTCTCTCTTAAAATCCATAAATCCTCAGTCTCTTCTCGCTGCGTATCTGTGCTGTAAAAGACAGTGGCATTGCCATGGATACAAGTCTCACATAGCTTACATAGTGCAGTTTGATGGGTTTATGCTTCAAAGCTGGGCTCTCAGTAGATATTGAGGAGTGCTGCTCTCTTTGAATATTAAAACTTTTCCAAGGGTTTACCTGCGTTTCCTGTCACCATCTTCTGTCTTTTATATCAGTGTCTGTGTGTAGGCTGTACAGTTCTCTGTGTTTTTATAATCAGGGTCTGTTCTTATGTCTGCTTTAACCTCTAACTTTAGGTTTTACTTAGAGAATAAAGCGTTCTTCCAGAATTTAGCAGACAGGCTCCTCTGCGCTCTGACTCACTTGATCTACATACAGTTCGACTGCCTGTGTCACAGACTGGTTTCAGACCAGGCCATAACTGCGATAACTGGTTTTTGCAGATAATCCTAGCTTCTTTCTTTTGGCTCCCTGTATGCTCAGACCTGATTTTATTATTTTGATTATCACCTTTAAAGCACATCTGGGTCTGGCCCCACGCTACATAGCAGAAATATGAGCCCTTTGACCTTGGAATAACTGGTGTGAGGATTTATTTAAATCCCTTCTTAAATACACTTCTGCCGACTTCCTTTCTGTGATATTTTATCTACATAGTTTTTCTGGTATTAATTGTTGTAACTACTTTTATCTTTTGGTAGTTTGTCTTGCATTTTTGTTTTTTTGATTGGCGTTTTACCTGTTTCCTAACTTCACCTGTTTTTGTTTGACCTCGTTTGTTTTTCCGTTTTCATTTACCTTCTAAATTTCCTGCTTTCGTTTATCCATGAAAGCACTTTTTTCAAAGAAGCACATAAAGTGGGCAGATGACACTTCACTGTATTCTTCAGCTAACAGAACAACAGGAACAGTGCCAAATCGCCCGGGCAGTGCTGTACGGGTCTACGGTGATGACAGCTCTGTGACAGACTGTGCAATGCCAGGCAGCTTTGTGCCATACTGCTCCATGGCTCACGCCCAACTATGTTTCCACGGACACCGGGATGCTGTCAAGTTTTTTGTGACAGTGCCAGGTAAGAGACAAGTGCAGAGAATCTGTGGGAACATATTAGGTAATGTTAGCCATTATCAAAGGAAAATTAGCAGCCATGTTGAAGTTGATGTGAAGTTTTCTATGATTGTAAAGAGAATATGAGTGTGAGTGTTTGTTGAACTAAAGAGCACAGTTGAATCAGTGATATGAATTGTACGATCTAGTTTGTCATAGATTAAATAAACAAACCATTAAATGAGAACGTAATCGGTAGCTAAAGTAACAAGAGAATGAAAGAGTCCCTAAAACACTATCTTTTGTTCTCAGTTTCTTCGTACTTTAAATTAACTGTCACAGGTCAGGCGATGCCACCTCCAGGTGGTGCAGATTCAGGCTCTGATGACCCTGCATCCGAATCCTCTGACACAGCAACTTCTGAGACCAAAACCTACCTGGTCATGAGTGGAGGGGAAGGGTACATTGACTTCAGGATGGGTGGGTGTAACACACTCCATGTACAAGTGTGTATTTATACACAGCAGAGGTTTTTATTCTGAAAAGAAACAGCTGTTTACTAGACTTTTTGGAGTAAAAGGCTTGAATGTGTCCCTTCTGGTATGATGTTTGCTTTAGGCCTTAATCACACAGGCTTAAAGACTGGTTGGCAAACCTCTGGCAACCTCAAGTCCCCAGGAAAAATGTATGATCTCTGTTAGGCAAGTGGTTGCTGGAGGTTGAAGGCTGTCGCCATGTGAAATTGATCTCAAAGCGGGTGCTGAATAAAAAATTTCTTTATGATTGCGATGGTCGCTAGCAGATTGCAGCAGTTACTTAAAGTGCTAAAGCATTAAAACAAAAAGTTTTACGTTTTGAAAAGACAAGTAAACAATAAATTACACTCATCCAGACATGAAGGAAAAATGGCATGAATAATAATTTTCCAATTTAGAGCGGGGCACCGTGCAACTCAACAATATTTCTGGAGTGATTTAAGAAAGAGTGAACCAGAGATTCAAAATGAGCATGAGCATTTGTGTAAGATTTATATCTTAGAAATAAGTTGTGCTTAAAAAACATATACAGCCAAATGTCATCTGCATAGCAGTAAGAAGAAATGCTCAGGAAGTTCTCAAAATGTGTTAAACACAAAGCAAATATTACAGAAACATTAAGGGCCCCAAAACAGAACCTGGTGGTACACCGTGAGCAAGAGAAGTGGAAGAGAACCTGACAGACATGATGAGAATCACTTCTTTTTACTCTGTAGAAACTGTGATGCAAATTAAAAATGGACAACGTTTCCCTTTGAAGTCAAAATTATGCCAGGCTGCTTAAACCAACACATTTAAAAAGTTCCAAATGTCTCCGGTTCTGGTTTGTGTTGTACTTTTTACAGTTTCACTGCCACTTGGTGAGTAGTTTGTGGACAACTCAGGAAACATGGAAACTACTGGCAACCATGGTGATCTTTTAGCAATCAAACCAGTGACAATGAGATTTTCACTACAGCAGCATACAACTCTTTGTAAACAATTTCACACTAGCAACTTCAAGTAACCTCTAACAGCCAGTCAGCAACTGTTTCTTTCATCCAGCAACCCCCTTTACCCTCGGGTCCCTGACCACTTTCTAGACCTGTACAAGTGTGGCTTTTGCAATTGATTCCACAACTACATCCAGCAACCTTACTCATCATCTTCTCCACAGGTGATGAAGTAGGCGAGTTGGATGGTTTATCCGAATCGACAGCCAGCCTGCAGTCGGCGCCTGCCAAGAACGAGCGGAGTCACCTCATCGTCTGGCAGGTCACGACTTCTCACGATTGAAAAACTTCATAGACTCTTGTGTTTATGCCAGGGGTGCCCACCAACCCCTGCATGCCATTCTGGAAGTTTTTAATTTGTTCTTAATACCTGAGTAGTTTACTACTTTGTAAAGAAATCAAAAAGAAAACAAACAAAAAAAAACAACAATTATTTTTAGTCCATGTTTTGTAAATTTTATTGTTTATGAATCTGAAATAGGTCAAATGAAGTATATGTTAACTTTAAGAATACGTCCAGGCGTTCCCTTCTGCATGTTGAAGAAGCTGGTGCACACACAGGGGAAAGGCTACCTTTTAGCACATCGTGTGGGATGGGCAGTTTGATCAGGTAATTGTCTGTTGCTTTGTATCTCAAACGTTAAAAAGGCTTTCGTTGTAAACAAAAAAAAAGGGACTTACCTGAAGTTGAAGTCATCTAAATAAAGAGCAGGCAGTTTTGAGTTAAACTGAAGTATATTTTATAGTAATCAGACTATAGCACTACATGTGTTAACCAGCACCGACGTCTTTCCTGTGTTGAACATTTTAAGACCTGAGCATCAAAAACCTGCAAGTTATAAACGTATAAAAAGGTATCGAATTTCTTGTCACCGGCGATATCAGGCTGATTACTCGACTGTATTGTTTGTTTGGTATTAGAGACATAGCTTGCAGCAAGTGGTGCACATTAAACACACTGTTGCATATTTAAATGTGCTTTTATGCAGGAAAAGCTGTAGGCTACAACATTGTTTGGGAGTTCGAATGTCCCACCAGTTGCAACAGGCTGATGTTTTGTTCTATGAATCATGTCTAAGCACTTTGGGTACTTCAAGGTTTCCTGTGGTTAGAAGAACTAGTTTACTGTAGGTTAGCAGTAGCCTGCATGAAGAAACCCCTCGTGCCGTAGGTGAGGAAAATCTTCCTGTGCCGCCAGCTCAGTGCTTCCTGTTTGCTTCAGCTCGTCGGCACTTTAAATTGTTAGATGTTAGTCGCTTTGGAGGAAAACTGCTGTGTCCTGTTTGTATGAAGGGAACAAAATGTACAAATATTTTTTAGGAAGATGGTCCCAGTAACCAAAGGATGTACGAAGAAGTATCTCAAAACTATTTCATTTGTAACTCAAATATTTGGGAGCGCGTGCGCGCATATATTCAGGATTTAAGCTCGAATGATGCAAATTTAACTAACAGCAACATTTCTGTGTGGCACCTTGAATCGGACGGCACTAAAGAGAGACTCTCCTGATTGCTTCATCATTCCATGTTTCATTGTTACACACACAGATTTCAGGCCTATAAGGCACATTTTCTTTAGTTTTTTGTTGTTATTTTGGGCATTGTGTGTGTTTTGTATCCATTTGTGAGACACTTTGATTAAGAGATGAGTATTTTCATGATTTGACTGTAACCTGACAGCAGGATGCCAACATTAAGAAGATGTTGTAATTTGTTTTTATATGTGAAGCCTTGGTCTTCAGTCCATTTCAAAACAGTAACTTTATATTGTGTTTTTGCCATTCCAGTATTTATTTCCTTTGCTATCGAGCCTATCTTGGTTCAGAATGTAACTTTCTACACGGGCAGAGTATCATAGGCGGCTATTGTGAACAGAATAGTCTAACGAGTTTACATGATTGTTAATAATGGTTAAATAAAATGGATTAATGTCATTATGTTGGAAATTTTTCACAAACCATGAGATCAAATTGTGCAGAGAAAAACTTTCATTCATGTACTAAGCTATGCATGTTTTTTTTAGAGAACACTGCTATATTATCGGCTAAATCTCAGTTTATTGCCACCGTTTTGGGTGGGGTGGATGTCAGTGTATGTATGTGCGTGTTTTGTGTTTAGAGTACACATGTACACTTAGGAGTGTCTGCCAGTGTGTGTTTGATTTTCCAAGTGTGTGGTGTGTGTCAGCTTAGTGTATGTTCATCCTTAAAAACAAAACCCAGAGGCTGGTCCCATTTATTTCTCTGGGCGCCATAAATGGTGGTCAATGTTTGCTAAAACAGTATCATAGCCTTATTTTTAACAATCTATTAAACTCAGTTTCATGGATAATGTGCTGGTATTGGTGTCTGTGTTTTTCCCCAGTGGGAGGCATCATGTTGCGTTTATAAAAAAGCAACATGATGTGACCTGTTGGTTACTGAGGTCCACTGTAAAAACCTCAAGCTGAGTAATTTCACTGTTTCTGTGATGAAACCAGATGTGTGAGGAGCACATGTGTCTGACAGAGAAACCAAAGGACACTGTACACTCATGAGAGGAGTGATTTTCAATCACAAAATCAGCCTTCCTTAAAAACCCCCACATTTTTCAGTCTGATGGGAGCTTTGCGCTCATTGGCAACTTCATGGGTCTAATCAACCAATCACGTTGCAGGAACACATTACAGGATGTTCTGACGTTTAAACTCAGCATAAGAATGATGTTACGGCCCGTCTAGGCGCAACCAGACCACAACATAAAGGGTGATCCATCCCCGTCCAACCCCGAGCAGCACGTCACACAATGAATACTTTGTGACAGTAAATACAACTTACCTAGTCAAAAGAACTAAACCAAACAACAATTACTTCCCTCCCTACCTAACAAAAACAGGAGAAAACTAATCAAACAAAAAGGCGGTCCATGCCTACATGCTCCTACATTAAACCAACATAGTGAAACAGTGAACGCACGGTCGGGGTTGGGCCGAGGATGAATTAACTGGCAGTCCCTGGAGGTGTCTTCTTATGCGCTGCCTCCCGGTCGTTAGCCAATCGGTAGGATCCATCCACCCTGGATGCACCAATCATGGAGGAGCACCTGCACACTCAAATTTACATATTATAATTACGACAACAGTCGTAACAATGAGTAAGAAAGGTGATTTAATTCATTTTAAACAAAACATAGTTGTTGGTGGCAGACAGGTTGGTCTGATCTTTTCAGAAACTGTTAATCCGCTTGGGCTTGGCCTCACAACCATCTCTAGAGTTTATAGAGAATGTGCAAAATAGAGATTTCTGGCGAGCTGTGGTTCTTTTGACAAAAATGCCTTGTTGATATCAGAGGAGAATGGCCAGAATGCTTCAAATAACAAGAGTAATTCAAATAACCACTCATTACAACCAATGTATGCAGAAGAGCATCTTTGAAAGGAAAAAAAGAGGAACCTTGAAGCAGATGGTCTACAGTAGCAGGAGACCAGACCAGCTGTTGTCAGCAGAGCCGGAAACTGAGGCTACAACTTACAGGGAATCATCAAAAATGGACAACAGAAGATGGAAAAAATGTTGCCTGGTCAGCTGAGTCTCGATTTCTGCTGCATCATTCAGATGGCAATTTCAGAAATCTTTGTAAAGCACATGAAAGCATGGATTAATTTTGTGTCCCCGTGATTCAGGCTGCTGGCGTAATGGTGCGGGCAATATTTTCCTGTTCTCTTTTTTATCAGCTGAGCATCTTTTGAATGTCACTGCCTGACTGTGTCAGACCCTTATGATTTCTGGATGCTTCCGGTTGGATACTGCGTAATCGCAAAGCATTATCCTGAACATAGCAATGAGTTTACTATTCAGTACTCAAATGGTCTCCACAGTCCAATCCAGTAAAGAAACTTTGGGATGTGGCGGCCCATTCCATGATCCTATCATGTCAATATGAACCAGAATCACAGCAATGTTTCCAGCGCCTAGTTGAATCTATTCGACAGACAATGCAGTTCTGAAGGTAAAAAAAAAAAGGGGGTCCAACTCAGTACAAGCAAAGTGCCTGATTTGACCTCCTAATAAAGTGAATGTACACAACAAAAAGAAGTTGATTTTGTATTTGGTAAGATTTGATATTAGCAATAAAGCTCATAAAAGTATGAGCAAAGTGACTTTTAGACTTGCTCCAACAGGCAGTTGGCAGTTGGTAAAAGAGTGTGTGCTTGTGTGTTTAAGGCACGTCTGAATTTGCTAATGCTTACGGGTAAAGTACCACACCCGCACAGTCCTGATGAAGCATACCAGTTTAACAGAAATAAATCAGCCAATTAATGAGTATTACCTTTAGGTGGTTTTGTGGTTTGTTTTAGGGTTGGAAAATTTGACAGCAGCATTTAAAAACAAACAAACAGTTTAACACTGTGATTTGAGCAGACTTCAGATGTAAATCTTTCACCGTTGTTTTCCCCTTTCTGTCCTTTACTAATATCCTTTTATGCCCTCTGCAGAAATGAATAAGCAAAAGTCACCCCATGACTAAAGAAACACATCATTGAGGTCAACATCTGTGTAGAATGAAAGATAATCAGGTTTTTTCAGTTATATTTGACCTTTTAACACAACCGAAATGTCAATCTTTGAAATCTATGACTTCTGCTGCCACCAGATGGTGCTGTATGTTTAATTCTAAAACGGACTGATGCATCACCTCAGTTTAACATTAATCGTAATGTCATTTGAAAACATGGCACCCTCTTTAAACGGCACCATGGTGCAGCTCCATGATTGTTATGATGGGTGGACTTGTGCGAGCATGCTAACACATCCAGGTTAGGCACACAGGTTAGGTTAACCGGCACACAGGTGTAACTACGTACAAGTCTCTTTGCATCCCTTCACTGACCTTTCCAAAAATGTACTTTGCGTCAGATGAGCACACACCACCTCAATAATAAGCTGAGAAAGACCATGCTCGAACCTTCTACCAGCCTTCCTGTGGTTCATGTAAATGTTGCATGTGATTTTATGGTCATACATATCAACTAGCATAATGAAAAACAAACAAACCGTGAGCTCAATTGTTCTCTTACCCGGCCAGTAGGGGGCCTTTGTGTTCACATCTCCTGTAAGATGCAGGCAGCATCACCACATAACAACTTCCATGAAATTACATCACAACATAAAGCCCACCTCCCACCTCCGTCTTTCCCATCCTCCCTCCTTTTTTCCACCCTCCTTCTCCTCGTAAGCCATGCGGGGGCTGGCATCGAGGGCCGCGCGTACATACAAAGAGGTTTCTGACGTCAGTGGGTTGCAGCCCAGACAGGGGATTCTGAGGATGTAACACGCCAGGCTGCTGCTGCTGCATTACAGCTGAGATGCTGATAAAAAGGCACTGATCCCAACTTTGTGGTAAAAAAAAGTCAAAATACCGTGTACACAATTTCAGGATTGCAAAACAGACTCATGATTTAATATCCGAGTAATTTATGCATCAAAACATGAAAATACACAAAGCACTTTCATCATTGTTATCAACAATTGAAATGTTCAGACCGAGCAGCGGTGCAGGAACAGCCTGCAGGTAAAAGCTTTGCTAAAAATGTGAGGCACTTAAGGGATTTCAATCCTGTTTGGGGATTTTCCTTCACTTAGCAGGGATGAAAGTGAGATGTCGGTTGTTGTGCTCTCTGGGCTCATTGTTTATGGTGTAGCTCGGGTAGAACACAGATTACAGTAAAGTGAACCCAGCGCCCCTCGGTATGCTAAAACAGGGACCGACTGATATGTAACATCTCCATCTGCCTGCTCTGCTTCATGAAAATCAATCCTTGAGTCGAGTCAAGGTTGAATCTTTTGAAGTGCTTTGTTTGCAGTTAGTTACAGGGATGAGTAACACTATACAGTGAAGATATCTGAAGGGGTTCACACATGGAAAAGTACTCATCATTTCTTTATAATAACTACAAATTGTACATTGAATAATGAAACAACTATAGCATTTTAATCATGATCCATATGAGTTAATGTTGTTCTTGTCAAGTCTGCAAGTGGGGGCTAAACAACTGAGCAGTGACGGCAGTGAACGTATATGTCTGTAAGTGTTGAAATTATGATTAAGTAAGAATAATTGCTTCACGATTTCATGCTTTTATCTGCAGTCCTGCAGACCTGACTGAGAAATCATGAATATTATTAACAGCTCATGAATCATGATGACTGAAAAAAAGTCATTTATGTGTGGTGTCTGGCCATATTATTTAAAGGTCTTCTATTCTGAAGAGACTGAATTCTTTTCAAACAGTAATTAAATCCCTAGAATGAAAACATTTCTCTAACCGAGCGCATCAACAGTTATGGTGGCTGGTCTTCCTGTTTAAATCAGAATACAAAAGCTGCATTAATTAGATGAAAACTGAAAACTGTTATGTTATAACACCTGACAAGAGAAACAAAACAAGAATACATAATTTTCATTCATAGGACAGTAAAACATGAAATAACCTGATAAAATTCATTACAAATACAATAAACACGCAAGGAAAACCTGCAGCCATCATCCCCTTATGTCTGCAAGGTCATTCAGCCTTCAGCTACACCGGCCAGCCTAAAAGCTCTGGCTTGCTCGAAATGTCTCAGGTCTAACTGTCTAAATGCCTAAATACCTCTTCCTTGTCCTGACTGAGAGGAACAAAAGGACTTCCTGTTTCCTGTCCAGGCATTTGTAGTTTTTGTCCCCCTTCAGCTGTTGTCTACTACAACCAGGCAAGATGCTCAAAACATGTCACGTCATTAATTCTTAAAAAAACAACTAATTTTCTACCAGTACATTTTCCATTTGTTTTGTTTGTTTGTTTGTTTGTTTGTTGGTTTGTTTTTTAAAATGCATTTCCCTAAATGGTATATGGCAAAAAACCAAACCAATCTGTGGTTTAACAGTACAGGGAAAAATATGCAAAAAGCATAAAAACAAGCAAAAGTTGTTTTTTTAAAAAAAATGTATGGCCAAGTTTCCAGAAATAGAAAAAGTCAACGTGTGTTTAAAAATATTTGCACTAAAGGGTTAAAGGTCCTTTTTCCTGTTCCTTTTTATGGAATCAGTGAATGTGCTTCATTATAAGAAAAAGCCAATGTCACTGCTATGAAATGCATTTTCTTTTGTTGTACCCTCAAAACAGCTTTGATGAGTTGGTGTTTGTGTAACGGCTGCAGCATGTCAGCGTGATGACAGAGCTGTGTGTCGGTTCATTTAGGAGACATGTAAAAATCAGAGCAATTCTCTGCTAGTGTTGGTGGGGGAGGCTGGATGAAAACAAAGTCAGGAAATGAGAAGTCAAGAAAACAGAGGAGCCAAAA